CCTTGCTGTGTCTGCGCTGAGGACATCTCCATGGAGGAACCTCTTACTTAAATAACTTCCCAAATTGCTGGAAAAAATCCTCTCCTGTTCTGTCATGCTGATTTTCAAGTCCTTTGAGTGCTCTCAAAGAACTAAAAAATAAGCATGGAGCGCAATGCTCTTCACACCGGGAGCTGGGGAGTAGTAGTACGTTGCTCCTCAGCACACGCACCAAACCTCGGTGCCTCCCTGACGTGTTCTTGTAGTGCGTCTGGATGAGCTGCAGCAGCTCTCTCCTCTCACACGCCCGCCCGTTAGTCGGTGTGAGGCTCTGCGTGGGCAGGGCGGTAGCGCGGTGAGGCGAGGGTGCTGTGCCTGGGGGGTTGACCACAGAGGGACCTGTGGGACTTGGCAGGCTGCGTCGAGCCTTTGGGTTTTGCTTGGATCGCGCCCAGCGCTGGAGTTTGCACCAGGGCAGGGTGGCTTTGCTGATGCCGTTCTGCTCGCTGCTCACCTCTCCCTTCCTGTCATCTCAGATCCCACCTTGCAGGTGGACACAGCCACCGCCAACCTCACGGTGCAGGAGAAGGAGTCCTTCCCGCTGGACTGCAGCATCCTGTCCCGCTCCAGCCCAGAGTCCCACTTCGCAGTGACGTGGTACAACCTGCGGGCCAAAGAGGCGGGCGGCCGCGCAGAGGAGGAGGAGGAGGAGGAGGAGGAGGAGGAGAGGGAGGCGGTGCTGAGCGTGGGCCCCGACGCCGTCTTCAGCCCCGAGGCCGGGCGCTGGGAGGGCCGCCTGCGCTTCCAGAAGCTGTCGGCGGTGCTTTTCCGGCTGACGGTGCTGCAGGCCGGCGGTGCCGACACGGGCAACTACTCGTGCCGCGTGGAGGAGTGGCTGGCGGACCCCAGTGGCCTGTGGTACCGGCTGGCGGAGGAGGAGTCGGGGACGGTCGCCGTTCACGTGCAGGATGCAGGTGAGAAGAGGCAACAACCCTCCCGGGGGGGCACGGCCCTGGCATCCCCTGCGTCCTCGGTTCAGCCACGGTAAAAAGGCCACGGGGTGAGTGGGACTGGGTGCCCCCTGCACCGGGGCAAGGCTGTGTGGTGCCGGTGCTTTTCCCATCAGCTCTTCTTGGGCTTGAGCATCCGCACTGCATTTAGCTCTGTCCTGGGGCTGCCTGCCCCGCAGCACTTACTGCCTGCTGTGCCTCAAGTCAGTGGGGGCAGGCGTTGCCCACCCACTGGGCTTTAACCCTTCCCTTTGGGAAACACCCTGGAATTTGGCTTAGTTCTGCGCAAGGGTGCAGGCTGTGGCACAAGGATCTCCTCCCAGCAACTCTTGAAGCTGCTGGATGGTTCAGAGGCCCCAGAGATAACTGAGTTCATGAGAGTTTTGTGGGCCCTTAAGGGAGGTACGCTGGGGTGCTGCCTCTGTGTACCATCACTGAGGGAAGCAACACTTTGTGAGGCTCCCCACTTTTTTAAGATACCATAAAATCTGCACCAGGGAGGACTCTCTGAAGCAGTCGTGAAACTCTCGGGGGGATAAAGCCAAAACATGCCCTTTCTTCTGCTGCTGTTTTCCCATATTGGTATTTTTCTCAGAGCCCCACCTCCTGCACTGACACAGATTAATAAGCATTTGGGGTTTTGTGCTTCTGAAGAAGTCTGTAGGTCCTGCGCTGCAGAGAAGCCGTGAAACGTGACCGCTCTGTGTCTCTTTCCAGGCTCCACCCTGCAGTCTGTCATCTGCTCCAACGACGCCCTCTTCTACTTTGTGTTCTTCTACCCCTTCCCTATCTTTGGCATCTTGATCATCACCATCCTCCTGGTGCGGTTCAAGAGCCGAAACTCCAGCAAGAACTCGGAGGGCAAGAATGGGGTCCCCTTGCTGTGGATCAAAGAGCCTCACCTCAACTACTCTCCCACTTGCCTAGAGCCGCCGGTCCTCAGCATCCACCCGGGAACCATAGACTAAAGAGGCAGAGGCGCCCGGGGGGACGCGCAGAGAGAGAGAGAAGCAGAGACACACCGGGAACCCTAAGGAACAGAGTGGGTTTTGTTGTTCTTGTTTCATTTGTTTCCGTGTCTGTGCTCCGACGCGGCGGCTGAGCCCTGCGGAGCGCCCAGCCGGCAGGGACGGGAAGGCCCGCGGCTTCCTCCAGCGCCTGTGGGAATGCACCCCCTCACCCCAACGGACAGAGGGTCCCTGCGCTTGCTGTACATAGCAGACGTTCCTCTCGGATTAATTTTGTTCCCATCAGTTGCTGTCTTTTGGGCCGTTACTTTTTTGTTGTCGTTTCTTTTTCAGTCACTCAAAGAACTGTAGGCTTTTCCTTGCCCTCCACACAGTGAGGAGTTCCCAGGGGGCGTTTGGTCCTGGGACGATCTCTTTGGAAGTAAATGTGTATGTTTTCCAAAACAGACTGGTTGTCCTCCTCAGACTCGGTGCCACGGTGAAGAAGATCTTTTCCCAAGGCGTGCTGAGCTAGCTCCTCCCTCTACCAAAACAGACACAGCCAGGTCCACCTCCAGAGGGGTTAGCTGAGCTATCGGGAGGTCCATCTCAAAGACTGGCTGTAGCCTCAGCATCTTCTTGCCTCCATCTTACTGCCCTCTCAGGAGGGAGCAATTCACCTTTTGGGAGCATTCCCAGGTCTTGGAGAGACTGAATATTCAGTGTGCTTGCAGTCAGGACAAAAGCAATTTAGTTTGTCTCCAGGAACTGAAGGAGGGGAGTGGAAGGAGGACACCTGAAAGCCTTGACTTTGTTGGTAGCAAAGAGGGTCCTGGTACGGTCCAGCTTACCAGAGTCGTGCTCCCCCCTGGTGTCCACGCTGCCACCTCTGGCTAGGGGGGTCCCCTCCGTGCCCCAGTCACCTGGGGATGGGTGGCTGAATCCAGTCTCTGAAGACTTCAACATGACCAAAGTAATGACTCTAGGAAGGGGGAACGGGGAAGCTCCACAGTTGGGTTCACGGCCCCTGGATGGTTCGTCCTGCAGGAGCCCAGCTGCAGCCATGCCACGCAGCGGGGACATGCGATTAACCACCACGTGTCACGAGTTTCCCTGCAGCTTGCACTACTTCCCAGCGCGAGCTTGGACGAGGCAAGGAGCCTGCACCGCATCGGCACCCTGGGGGCTTCCCTGTCCCCTTGGGCCAAGAGAAATCTTCCCCTGCACTTGCATGTGCATCTGCCGTTTTTCGTTTCTGGGGCTTTAGGAGGAGAAAACATTTCTCCATAAGCTTCCCCTTCTGGCAGTCACCTGCTCTTGTCATAGGCAGTCGCTGTGGCAGGAAATGCTGTTCTTTCTGTGAAAGATATGGCTCTCATGAACCAAACCAGGGCTCTCGCCACGTGGGGCACCTGAGCTCCCGTACCCCGTAATGCCAAGTACCCCTGCCCTGTCCTGTGGAGGAAACCGCCTCCTCCCCCATACGCCCTAAGCGTTATGTCCGGCGGAAGAAAATGTTTGCCAAAAATGGCCTTTTGTTGTCTTCCTTGATGTCTTCCTGGCAAATCCGGCCATTTATTTTTTGAAGCTTAGCTGAAGCCAGCCGGGGCAGACGGGCGCAAGCTGCAAGACCCCCCCCTGCCTCGCGTGTGAGAGGTGCCATACCCACAGCCGTTGTCCTCTTCGGGAGGGTCGGACTGCTCTTTGTGAAGAGAAGGGGACCTCAACAGATGCTCTGTAGCATTAGTAGGTTAGACCCTGATGCCTTGATGTTTCAGAGGTGGTGAAGCCTCGGACGGGAGATCTGCACCGCGCATCCTCTCTCCCAGCTGGGAGAGGACCCACGTGGCCACGGACCATCCCGTGCCAGGGCATTCCAAGTCAGCCGCCTCTGCTCCTCCACCAGAATGGCATTGGTTTCTTCTTCTGCTGGGAAGCCCAAATTTCACTCATCCCTCTGTGAAGTCTGCCTCCTCGAGACGTAACTGCTTACTGGCCCCAGCATATGCGTAATATCACACCCCTATATATGTATGTATCGCACACCCACACACTTGTCTTCCCTTTCTGGATGAGGCGTCTGCAAAGAGAGGAGTGGGATGAGAAGTGAGTGGAAATGAAGAACCGAGGCGCAAACAGCAGCAGCTGCAGCCAGTGGGTATTGTTTCGGAAATGTAGTATCTCCTGTACATACTGCTCCCGGGCAGGAACTGCAGCTCATTTCAGCTTTAACGGAAAAAAAGAAAACGAAGTCACCAGGAGCGCCTCTTCCCTGGGAGAGCGCTGCTCTGTGTCCAAGCCACGCTCCTCCTCGCCAGCCTGTCTGCCCCGGCGCAGGGCTCTCCTGGGGGGCTGCCCCACAGCCCCGTCCCCCCGGCCGGAACGGGATCCTGCTCTGAGCCCTGTGGTTCCTGCTCTGAGCCTGGGCTTTCCCGGGAAGCGGCTCCCACGGTGGTCCCTGAAGGAACCTTGCTGGTGACATTTCTCCATTGCGCTGGCAGTGTGTTGCCCAGCCTCAAACTTCTGTTTTTATAAGGCAGACTCTTCCTGTAATGAGTTTTAACACGAAGCTTTTCAAACCACTCTCTCTGCTGTCTACTTTCTGTAATGAACCCAAGAAGAGAGATATCCCTATCCATGCATGATGTGGAAAAATGTTTGGGTTTTTTTAAAAAAAAAAAAAAAAAACAAAAAAAAAAACAAAAAAAAAACCACAAACCTTTGTACTATGTTGCACTAAAACATGTTTTATACAACACACCTGAGAGCTGTAGTAAACCGTGTTGAAATTGTGAATCCTATTGCTGCTGGTTTTTGTCAGATTTGGGCTTTCATTATGCCTTTATGCGCACTCCCGGCATAAAGGTGTGCTGAACTCCCCTTTTTAGGCAGCCTCTCCCTCTCCCACCACCCCTGTTCCCTGATCCATTACCTCTCCTCCCACCCTGGTAGCGCATCTCTCTCTCGTGGGCTGGAGCTTGCAGACACCCTGCACCCTCTGACTGTTCATACTTCTCCCATCCCTTAATTCATCCCATAATAGAATATAACATTGAAAGAGAGATGTGTCAGGGCTCTTTATTGAATGGGATACACCATTTTTGAAATTGCTCTGACAGTATTAAGTACTTTGCTGTTCCATAGTCTGGGTTTGAAGAAAAACCACATTTTATAGAATTATCGATAACAAATGTTAAGCAAATATCCTTTAGTAACCTTGATGTAAGCAGAATAATATAATTCACTACAGAAGTTGCTTAAGTTGATGTAAAATGCAGCCTGTTAAGCTCATTACTCGCATTTTTACCTTTAGTAAGGGTTTGGTCAGTAGTCTTGAACTCCCACATAAATTGAAATAGGGAAGTAGTGGGATACCTTCTTACCTGTATAGCAAAAGCGCTGTGAAATTGTGCAAAATGCACTGCTAACACAGCTGTTAAGGTTGGGTTTGTTGTTGTTTTTTTTTCCCCAAAAATCATTTAAAACAAAAAAATACCCTCCGCTGAAATAATTGTGTGAGAAAACTGTTGTCCCCAGACACAACTGGCAGTTTGCCCGCTGCCCCCAGTAGGCTCTCCTGGGCTACAGTCTCTGTGCTAAGGAGCGGAGGTTTCAGCTCCACAGCTGCTCAGTGCTAGACGGCAAGTGGTGTCCCCAGCACTGCCCCTTGACAGTACCAGGCAGCGAGTGTGGGCTAGCCACCGCGGGTTTGCCAGGGGGGCGCCTCTGGGTGCGCACCCCTGGCCCCCTCTGGCGTGCTCCTACGGGCAGGACCCTGGTTTGGGGCGGCCTGAGTGGGTTCTGCTGCCCGCCCTGCTGCTGGAGCGTGGCTCCCGCTCCCCCTGAGGACGGCACGACGCGCGGCCGCCGCGGCGCAGCGGAGGAGGGATGTCTCGGGGCTTGGCTGCTCGAGGCACCGTTGCGTGCTTCCATCAAACCCCCTCGCCGCTGCTTCCCTACGCCCACAAGCCCCAAGCTGCTCGCTCCAAAATGGCCCGCCCACCGAAGCCGACACAGACAAACAGAAAAAGCAGGCCTGGCTCTCGCGCGCTTCAATCCGGCGGGTTCGCAAACAGAGTTCGTGCAAAACATTGAGGGGGGGGGGGGGGGGGGGGGGGGAAGAGGGTCAGTGCGCCCCTGGGGGGGCCCTGCCACCCCCCGCCCCGCCTAGGCCATGTTGTACAAGCCCTTGGCCACCTGCTCCAGGCGGTCCCTGTACTCCAGGTGGGCGTAGAGGGAGGCGTGGACCCCCCGGAAGCCATGCAGGGCCCCCCACCAGCAGGCCGCGATGGCGGCGGTGGAGTCGCTGTCGCCCCCGTGGAAGAACGCGCGGTGAGCCAGCTCTGCCCAGGAGTCCCCCGCGCCCAGCAGCGCGTCGTAAGCGATCATGGGGGCGTCGTGCCCGCTGCTGCCCCCCCAGCCGTCGTAGCTGAGGGAGGTGTAGAACGAGTCTCTCTCCTCCACGCCGTACTTGGGGGGGAAGGTGGGGGGCGAGACCCCATCCGACAGGCCTCTCTCCACCAGGTATTTTTCCCATTGCTCTTCAAAGTAATGCCTGCAAAACGGGAGACGGGACGGAGGAGCTGTCAGAGACCTCCCGCCGCAGAAGCAGGGACCCGAGCTCCCCGCAGGCCCGCCCAGCGCCAGCTGAAAACATGCCACGTCAAGAGCCCGGAGCAATGGCTCGGCGAAATGGCAGGCATCCCCCCTTTGTCAAACGAAGGACATGATTTACAGTAAGAGGCACAAGGAACGCGTGTCAGGGAGTTAGATTTCCCCTCCCTCCAGCCACGTGGGAGAAGGCAGCCCAGCACCTGCTGCTGTTGCGCCACGCAGGATTCAGAGGCTCAGAGCGAGAACTGAGTCATCCTCCCAGATTCAGAGCACCTCCACCCCTGGCTGTGCGCGTCCCTGCGCACAGAGCCGCGCCGAATCTGCAGCCAGATTTGGTTATAACTTTCAAAGTGAGCTCAGCCCTCAGCCTGGTGCTGTTCCCCAGCCCTGCTTCCCATCTTTCATCAGATCATGGTTGCTTGAGATGACAAGTCTAGCTACCCCGTACTGGAGCCAAAAAATGTCACAACTACATGACCCATACACGACCTGCCTTTTTTTTTTTTTTTTTTGAAGTGGACTTCAGAGACTTTCTGAATGGATTCGATCCCACAGCAGGCATGTGCTGCTCTGGGAGTTTACCATAATGTGATTACTGAAGCTTAAGCATAAACAGAGCTCGCTCTCTCCTACGTGAGGTTTATTTTAATAACAAAACCGGGTGCTAGGAGTGCGGCTCACCATTGCCCCATGTTCTCCTCCACGAAGAAGCCGGCGTCCCGCACGTAGGCCTTCGCCCGTGGCAGCACCTCCAGCAGCCCCTTCCCCCAGGCCGGGGGGGGCACGCCGTTCACAGCGAAAGCCGTGAAGAGGGCCGAAGCCAGGGACCCCAGGTAGCCGGTGGGGTGGTGGTGGGTCATCCGGCCGCTCTCGATGCTGACTCGCACCAGGGTGTCCAGCTCAGCGGGGCGGCAGAAACGCAGCCCGATGCACATGGAGCGCATGGCGGCCCCGCAGCCTCCCGCCCGGGGGCTGAACGGGATCCTCCAGCCGTCCGGCCGCCCCCCATCCAGCTTCAGCGCGTTCTCCTGACACGTGGCACCTGGACAGGAGCGGCCGAGCCCCACAAAGAAAAGAAACAGAAGCGGACATCAGTAGGAGACAGCGTCACGTAGCTTGGGCATCAAGGGAAGACAGGCAAGGTAGTGGGGAAGGAAGCACTGCTCTGCCTAAGAGATTTGAGCTTCCCTTTAAAAACATCAGTTGCCTGCCTCACACACATACCCTGCCTGAAATTGCCAGTGCGTCCTGCATACTCCCAAGCAGACCTGATAATTCCTGCTTGTGAAAACAATTTAAAAGTCTAGAGGGGTAAGAAACACTCCACTGCTGATTTATTTAGATTGTTTATATTTACATTTAACGTTATTTATTTAATAACTTATCTATAAAACATACACGCTATATATATCAGGTATATTATGTACATATATATCTAGATAGATATATATAAATAGAAACGAGGTTTGGAGGATCCCTGACCCAAGGCCCCACTAAGCACCTCTGCTTTTTTTATTTGTTTAGCCTCTTTACAGGGCCTTTTAAAGGCCGAGACCCCACAAACTCCACAGGAATCTTTCCCATTGCCTCACTGATGGGAAATGTTTTCCAGATCCCCCTTGCTGCAGTTTAAGTTTGTCAGAAAGCAACGCCTGCAGCATCTCCCTCACCGCAACACGGCCGGCGTAACTGGATTTACTGTACTCCAGTAACCTGAAGAGCAGCTGCACCAGGTGAGACCAGCGGTTTCTCCAGCCCAGTAGCTCATCCCCAAACACAGCCGCTAACTGATAACTACGGAAAGACTACAAAAAACGAGGCAAGTACAGTGTTTCCCCAGGAAGACCTGCCTGGCTTCCCGCAGACAGAGGAGCACAGCCTGCTCGAGTCAGAAGATGGTCAATAAGCCCCAGCCGACCTAGCCACCATGAACTGGTCTCCTTAGCTTGAGCCCATGCATGCCTTCAGACTCCTTCAACATCCCATGGTAACCACAGCCATGATTTTGTTACGCATTTTCTTTTGTTTTAAACCACCATTTGACAATTTCCTTAGATTTCCCTCTAATTCTTACAAGAAATAATGACTTTTCAGGCTCAACTCTGTTCAAGACTGTATATACTTTGTCCCTCTTCCTCAGTTTTCTCCCGCTCTGAGCTGACACACTAGTCCAACTTTGCCTCTCTTCAGGTGGGAAGCCACACCATAACTCTTCCTTGCCCACCTCCATGTCTTTCATAGTTCTGCTATTTACTTTTGAAAGAAATTACTCTGCTTCTTCCAGTGCTGCTTCTTCAGAAACTCACTTGTTAGTCCAGCACACTCATAGAATAAAGCCATCTGCACAAACACATCCAAATTTCAGAGCCCAGGCCAGCTTCTCCAGCCAAGACTGTGAAACATGTTTTGAGCACCAAGTCCAAATGCTTGTGTGCAAGGAAGAGGGAACAGGTTTGAAACATTAAATTAGCTTTGCTTCCCTTCTACTTTGCCTTTTTTCACCTAGTCTTCTCTTTTGACCAAATCTGAAACACTTCTTTTCCAGCAGAAGGATAAATCAAGGGCAGATTTCAAGCAGCTTAATTTAAGCGTTAATGTGTTGGACAACGGCAAAAGTGGACTCTTAAAAGACTAGTCTTTTCCTAACCACAGCATGCCCAGTCCTCTCTCAGACACACAGGGTAATAGCAGCAGTTGGCATGGTCACAGACCTGAAGTTAGACCATTACTCCTGTACCCTGCTGCCTAACTGGGACAGGTAGCTGATAAACTTGCAGATGCTCCGTTACTTTGAAAGTCAAACTAAATAGAATAGAGTAGCAAGGAAGAAGCCTGGTCGAGAAAGTTCACCTAGCTCCACAATTCAACTACCTTTGGTGCAATTCAATCACCATGATCTGGGACGTTGCTAATCACAGCCAGGCACTGCACCAAGTACTACTCTGCAGAGCTCTTCACTTCTGCATTTTCATGTATACGCCTGGCAGCAGGATTTGGCACACGGCAGTCTATTTTACCTGCACGTGGCATTTACAGCAGCCTTGCAACTGAAATAACTCCATGCCCAAGCACAGCTTTATGATTGGCTTCTGGACATTCGCTAAAAATAAATAATGGCTGGCCGCTGTCAGGCGTAAGGTCACGTGCTGGTCTAAGTGTCTGTAGCGTCTTTCTTTTCTAACAGGGTTGTTACATTCGAGGCTTGTTCGCTCAGCCAGGATACAGCCCCCTGTGCAGTGTGAACGGGCAGGCCAGCTCCCCGTGAACGGCAGTTTCAAACCGGAAAAGCCGCTCCGTCCTGTGGCTGTCGGGGCTCTGCCCCGCGAGCCTGCCAGCTGAAATCAACGCTGAGAATGGAAATGGCCTATGCAAGTCTTCCCCCCCCCCCCCCTCAGAAAAGACAGGCTGCTGATCGGCGCAGCCCATGGCGTCAGGCCCCGTTAGCTCTCCTGGATTCCCCGCAGCGTGTCCCGGGCACCAACCAGACCTGCAATTTCACCGGCCTCATCCATGCCTGCTGTGCCGGCACACCAACCGCGCGTGTGACACCACCGTCACACCCGGCCCAGGAGATGAGACCTGCAGGTTTTGCGGTGCCAGGCAGCCGGACAAGCCCTGGGTCAGCCCAGATGTTCCTCACACCTCCTGCTTCCCGGTGATTTACAGAGTGAACACTGCAGGGCCGTGTTTCTCCGCTGGAAGAAGCAGTAGGCAGAGAGTTGGGTGTGGGCAGCACCAGGCTCTGCCGGGACCGACAGCCACCGACCTCTAACAGCACTGCCTGGGAGTTTGTTTTCTGTGACGTCTCAAAGTGGGAACATGTTCAGGCCTCTAGATCTGCTTTACATGTAGTTTATTAATTCAGTGCTGGCTGCTACGTATCAAAATCGTTAAGAAGGATATCGGTATAATTTCCAGTTTTATGATGATTAACAGAAAACTGAGGCACTTTTTTCAAAAATCTAATTATGCTAAGCACTGCACTCATGACCTGTAACAGGACACTAAAAAGAACCTGTCAAACAAAGCCATGTTTTTAAAAACTGTGCCAACTAACCTATTCATATGTTCCTGGTAAAACAGTCCTTCTGCCAGGAAGACAAGGGGAAGGGGAGAGAGCAAAGGTACTAGAGTAGCTTAAAATCAAAATCTGCATAACAAAAGCAAAACGAACTCTGTAATCTTGCTGGAACTGTGAGAAACTTACTTCTTCAGGACATGTTTGGGCAGGTTGAGACCAGGCAACTCAGTTCTTGATAAAAAGTGCAATTGTTCTTGCATTAAGTGTAGTCAAAAGGAAATGAGGCAAATGACAAGGCTTAACTTGTAAAGAAAGACTGGTTATTTTGCAATACAATTTGCTTGCAGCTTTAAGCCTGCACATACTACTTTAGGAGATGACTACTGATAACCTGTAAATGGAAAAAAATGTGTAAAACAAACCAGTATACAACAGCTAAGATTCTTGTGATTTATGAAGTATTACGAGTATTATCCTCATGCTTTTAAACAGTTAAAACATTCAAACATTTGAAAGCCGATTTAGGAAGACTAAGCTGAAATCAGGTTGCCAGGTCTTTTTTTAAAAAAACAGGTTTTAAAAAAAAAGCGCTGTAGGAGTTTTTGAATCAGGAAATTCTGTTTTGGAAAACCACCAAATCCTGGTTAGGAATCCTTTGTACTAACAGTAACAAACTAAAAGTAACCCGAGGAGGATACTGGTCTAAGGAAAGAAGAAATACGAGCAAGGAGCAGTGTGTGAAGAAAGACAACCTGAAAAAGTTTCAAGTACAACTGGATGCTATTTCTTGAATAAACTTCCATTCCATTTATTTAGTCTCTTCATGAGCACAGGCATGCTGTTTGGGATCAATCAATGCATATTAAAAAAGGTGAGTTAAAACAACCACATAGTGGTAAATAATTCCACAGGGAGGACTTAGAGCGAAAGACAGTTTTGAAGCAGGTTTCCTGGAGAGCTGTGGAGGCACATATAGTTGTACCATGAAAAAAGAAATATGTCTATACTTGTGTCACTTAATTCATTGGCTTCGTTATCTGCAAAGAACAATGAATTTGGGACTGTGGCACATCACAAATAGCAATAATGGATGTAAGGATTAACTTGTCATTGAATTAGTACAATGAGTTCTCTCCTGGGGCAACACACTTGAGGGACCCTGGCGTGGCCTTCTGATGACTCATAACAGTGTGGGAATCCCTTTGTTACTGCCGGTTTTGGTTTTCAGGTCTGGACTCCCTTGTGTGGGCGAGCAATGTGACTTTCCCCCACTGTTCTGGGGGAATCTCTTCTCTTCTGGGTGAAAGTTGTAGCAGCAACTTTCCATTCTCAGCCTTAAGGGCTGCAATTCCCCTGTGACTTTGGCCCAAAGAGACCTTGGGTTATGTTCTCAGTTAAAATCCATTTACTCTGAACTGCCGGAAGAAGCTAACGACATACAACTTCTACCATTAGGATTCATCAATATGGCACAGAGGCTCTAGACTGCAGACAGCTTTTCACGATATGGATTAGGTATTCCCTTTGGTAGCATGTCAGTGGGCATTAAACTGTTAAGTGTCAGGATTTAAGCTCTCAGAGCCGAGTGCCTTTCCTGTGGCTGCAGCAGGAGCACTCCAGAACGTTGTTTCAAGAAGATTCCCAACAGACTTCCATCTTTTTCCACATTACTTCCCCCACTTGCCTCAAAATTTTATGAGGTGAAGTGTCCATGGACCCACTAAAGAAGATGCATTTCTTTGTTTAGCTTGATAACTTGACCTTTCCTTGTCTACTCCAATTAGTGTCCATAGCAAATTTAATTTAAACTTACTCACTTCCAAATGAGAACTGCTTTTGGGCATATTGAAGCTCAGTTACTCACAGAAGGACTGCAGCAGGTGTGCTATTATCCTTAGATATTAATTACTAACATTTAAATTTTAGAATCTTCTCCTTTTCATCTCAAAAACTAATTGTTTTAGTCACCAAGCTTAGATAGCGGAGGCAAAAATAACTTCCAGGTGCTGTCTCACTGCCAGCTGTGATTAGTCCACCTTGACAGACCCCATCAGCTGGAGGAACTACAAGATGCTCCTTTACCCAAACAGCAGTTAGTCTCTTGGAAATATAATCCTGGCAAGCATCGTTACCCCTTCCTAAATATTTTATTAATTAGCCTACTCCAACAACTGAGACTATCTGTGTTAAAGAATACTGATATTTTAGCTCTTTACACAAGGGTAGGAGTCACTGTGGAAAGGTAAGCAGAATAAATTCCTGCTTGAGTTTCCAATCTGGTTTATCCTGGAAATTCACACCTCTGTCATACTATGCTCAGCAGCTCCAAGAGAGCAATGCAAGATTTCATCATCAACCCAAAATAGAATGGTTTGGGTTGGATGGGACCTTAAAGACCATCTAGCCCCAACCCCCTGCCAGGGGCAGGGACACCTTCCCCCAGACCAGGTTGCTCCCAGCCCCGTCCAACCTGGCCTTGAACCCTTCCAGGGAGGGGGCAGCCACAGCTGCTCTGGGCAGCCTGTGCCGGTGTCTCACCACCCTCACAGGGAAGAATTTCTTCCTAACAGCTAATCTAAATCTACCCTTTTCCAGTTTAAAACTGTTACCCTTTGCCCTATCACTACACCCCCTGACAAAGAGTCCCTCCCCACCTTCCCTGCAGCCCCCTTTAAGCACTGGCAGGCCGCTGTAAGGTCTCCCTGGAGCCTTCTCTTCTCCAGGCTGAACAGCCCCAACTCTCTCAGCCTGGCCTCACAGGGGAGGTGCTCCAGCCCCCTGGTCATCTTCGTGGCCTCCTCTGGACCTGCTCGAGCAGGTCCATTTCCTCGTTATGCTGGCAGCCCCAGAGCTGGACACAGTGCTCCCAGTGGGATCTCACGAGAGCAGAGTAGAGGGGGAGAATCCCCTCCCTTGAACCACTGGCCACGCTTCTCTTGATGCAGCCCAGGGCACAGTTGGCTTTCTGGGCTGCGAGCGCACATCTGGGTCATGCTGAGGTTCTCATCAACCAACACCCCCAAGTCCTTCTCCCCAGGGCTGCTCTCAATCCACTCATTGCCCAGCCTGTGTTTGTGCTTGGGATTGCCCCGACCCATGTGCAGGACCTTGCACTTGGCCTCGATGCACTTCATGAGATTTGCACAGACCCACCTCTGCAGCCTCTCCGGGTCCCTCTGGATGCATCCCTGCCCTCCAGTGTGTCGACCACACTGCACAGCTTGGTGTGGTCAGCAAACTCGGTGAGGGTGCGCTCAGTCCCACTGTCTGTCTCACCAACAAAGATATTAAACAGCACCAAACCCAACAGTGACACCTGAGGAACACCACTCGTCACCACTCTCCACTTGGACAGCGAGCCACTGACTGCAACTCTTTGAGTGTGACCATCCAGACAATTCCTTAGCCACCAAATGGTCCATCCATCAATCCCATGTCTCCAATTTAGAGACAAGGATGTCATGAAGGATGGTGTCAAATGCTTTGACTTTTCCCACATTTAACGTAAATCCAGAACATTCTTGATATATTCTGGCCACTCCAAATAGGGATGTCTAGGCAATTTCCTTATGATGTATAGACTTTGCATAGGATTGCTGAATGAGTGCTTCCTAGACACTTTACCCTGCCTGCACTAGTCACAGTAGAGGCCCAGCCTCAGTTGCTCCGATTTAAGATTAATTCAAGCACCCAGAAGAGGCTGGGCCAGGAGCACAGAGAGAAATGGGGTCCACATGGAAGAATCAGGACATCAGGCCTGGGTAAAGTAGGAACTACAGGAATATGTTGTATATGGCTTGGCTGCTGCAGCCTGTCAAGGTGCCCCTCCTGAATACTGCCACACACTGCCAGTCCCCACTGCCTGTCACACAAACTTGGCACCACTGTGTCTATGCAGAGAACAGAGAGATGATGGAGGTACAGGGTTCAGAAAAGACAACTATGGCCTGACTGCCCTGTCACAGAAAGCAGGCATGCGGAGCTAGTTAAAAGCAGACTTTGGGTTTAATAAACTTAATTATTCCAAGCAAGTATCTTTGCGCCTTTAAATATATTTTATGTATAATTTATTGCAGTTATTATGCGAAGTTCTCTATTAATTCTCTGTTTAAAAGTGTTGCTTTAACACAGCATCTCAGGGTGTGCATTATACATGGTTGAGTTTGTGTTTTTCATCCAGAGTGTAGGGAAAGGCATTCCCAGCACAAAAGCCAACACATATCCCCTGAGTTCAAGGCCAGGCCTCAAACACACCTGTAAGAATGGTTTGTGAACATGGACAAAACAATGTTTTTCATCTAATTCAGAGAAGCCCAAATCACTTCAGCTTGCCTTATTCTGTTCTCTTTAGTTCGTTCTGAAACAGGTACTGAGTGTGGAAAACTTTTGCCTTTACATGAACTACATTTAATGCTATGAACAGCCAAGAGCAGAGCCTGGCCCAGCCTCAGCTCCAAGCTGCAAGAAAGGGAGAGACGTGAGCGAGAGGACAGCCCTACCCAGACAGTGTTACAGAGGGGTTACCTGGAGCTCTGCCCTTCATGTCATTCATGCACTCCTTGTAGTTCTTTGCAATCAGGGAATAGAGATGTGCTAAACTTGGGTTCTTCCCGGCAGCTACCAGGGCTTCAGCCGTGGCCAAGTGCATCACTGTATCATCACTGACTTTCCAACCTTGGATGCTGAAGTTGCCAAGTCCCCCCATCTCTGCCAGCTCCCTGTGGATGGCTGGGCCGCTCTGCAGGAACTCCCATTGCCCGTTGTAGTAGCCTAGCGTGTCACCAACTGCGCTCAGCACCATCGATGCCACGTAGTTTTCCATCGCCTTAGGACACAATTTTTGCCCCAGGACTGCTTCAATGCAGAAAACCCTATTAAAAAAAAAAAAAAAAAAAAAAAAAAGAGAGAGAGGGAGACTAAAATTACAATCTTTCCCAGTTCAGTACAAGCCTCTACTGCTAAGCTCCAGCAGGCTGAATACCTGGCCCAGCACCTGTGTCTCCCTCAGAGGATATATTTTTTCAAAGGACCTGCTTCCCTGTGGACCTCTGCCCACTCACGCCCACCAGTGGGTAAGCATGCAAAAGCTCCCGGGCAGACCAGCCGGCCATGTCTTCCCTGGGTAGCGGCGGCAGCTCAGGACGACGCTGCATGTCGTAGCCGGGTCAACAACCGAAAAGTAAGGGCTCGCCTGCAGAAATGTGTACAGGTTATGTGACCGTACCCACGCTTACCACTTTGGGCGTGCAGCCCACAGCATGAGCAAGGAGGTTGGGGTCAGCTCCCGGCAGTTCTTGTACCCTGGGGATAACGTAAGGCTGAGCTCGGTCACTTTGGCAGGGGTGCTCGTACAGGCAGAGCTGGCAAAGCCAGCGGCTACCGTTAGCCATGCCCCACCCCACAGAAAAAAAAAAAAAAAAAAACCAAAACCACAACCCAACAGAAAACACACGCCTCCTCAGAGTTTGCCTGACGGCGAGGCCCTTCCGCTTGGGAGAAGCTGAGGTGGGGAAGGGCAGCGCGGCCGGCCGAGGCCGAGCCGGGGATCCGCGCCGCCGGCCGAGGCGGCCTCTTCCCGGGCGCGGCGGGTACTTACGCTGCCAGCCCTGCGAACAGCGGCCGCCGGCGGCTCCCCGGGGACATCGGCGCGGCCCGGCCGGTGCCCGGTGCCCGCCTCAGGCCCGGCCGGTGCCCGGTGCCCGCCTCAGGCCCGGCCCCCCCGGTGCCCGGTGCCCGCCTCACGCCTCAGGCCCGGCCGGTGCCCGGTGCCCGGTGCCCGCCTCAGGCCCGGCCGCCGCGCCCTCCCCCGGGGCGGTGCGAGCCAGGCCCCTCCTTGCCGGCCGGAGGGTTCGATCCCCGGGCCGCGGGGCCCAGAGAACGGGGGTGGGGGGTGGGGGGTGGGAGACGGGTGTTTTCTTTCATTTTCTGGATTGTCTCTTAATTGCTGCGCTGCGGGTATACAACAGTCAACTCGGAAATGAAGCTGCTGCATGGGAATGAAGTCACCACATGGAAATGAACTATTTCATTTCATTTAAACAAACAACAGGGAAAAAAAAAAAAAAAAAAAAAAGTAAAAATGAAAGGCGCTTTCGGTATTTCCCCCCGCTTTTTCTATTGAAAGTGTTCACTAGTTGCATAAGCAGCCCCCTGCTCCTGGCAGAGCCCCAGCCGGGGCAGCTGCCTGCCGGGGGGAGCAGGGCCGGGGCTGCGGGCCCCGCTCAGCCTCTGCGCCGGGGGGAAACTTTGGCAGGGGCTTGCCCCAGCCTTCGTTTTTCTTTCCCCGCTTCTTGCCGCATTCGTTCGCTGCAGCCTGAGCAGAGCCTCCGGCCTTTAATGGGAGTCTTTGCCTACGCACCTGCCCCGTCCTTCGGTGTTATGTGTCAGGGTTTTCCCCGCAGCCACCGACGTGGCCCAGCTCAGGGCCCTGGTGACCCCAGCCTCTTCCAAACCGGAGCCAATCTTTGCTGCGTCCAGTGGTGCTGCTTTACATTGCGCCTCGAGGCACTTGGTGGTCCCATTGCCTTGCTTTATCCTTTACTTTTAATGATGGTGGTGGTGAAGCGGCTGAGAGCACCTAGCGAACGGGCAAGGAAGGGACAGCAGCAGGAAGCACGAGCAAGAAACAAGGTTGAGCACGGCCGGGGTTGCATTTTGCGGAGGCCAAACCTTTTGACTGACCGGTGGTCACTTTGATGTGCCGCACTCCAGGTCTCCAGAGCCCCGGTTCACCCCAGAAGGTACCGGCACCTCTTACATGAAGGGAAAAAAAAAAAAAAAAAAAAAAAATCCCCCCCTAGGAGAGAAAGCAGTGGTAGTTTTTAAGCTGCAACCCTGGGGGATTTCAGGGCAATCATGAATGTAGCACAGGGTCAGAACAGAGTCCCTGGGGAATTTAGGGGCAAGTGAGAGTGGGGGATCAAAGCAGGGCCCTGGGGGATTTCAGGTAGCTGAGAGCACAGGGCTGCGCGGGAGCCTCTGCCCCAGAGGCTGCGGTGGTTTGGCATGCCGTGCCCATTGAGATGCCTGCTGCTCCTCTGCACCCCGCTGCAAACATGGAGACTGAGAAGCATCTAGTAGAGAAAATAGTAACAGAAAAGGAAGTGGGAAAAGAAGCTGCTGGTGTCTCAGCACTGCCAGCGGTGCCTGCTGACCTTTTCTGCTTCTCTGCTTCATTTTGTTTTATACAGAACAACTCTGAATTTACTCAGGTTAGCGCAGTGCTTAAAAGCAAAGTGGGGGTTTTCTCTCCTAAGGTTTGAGCCTGCAAGAGGGAAAACCCCTCCCACTTTTGGCTGGCTATCTGTGAGGAACAGGTTCTGCTGCAGCCCGAAGGGCAAAGGAGCAGAGAGAGGGAAGTTGCAGGGTTTCCCAAAAGGACAGGAAGATGGGCGAACGCCACTGCATCAGCACAAAATGCCTTCAACACAGAAATCTTTGGACCTTATCATTGGTTCCTGGTTCCTGAGCAGTTTCAGCTTCCTAAAAACTGAAACCAAGACATGCAATGCAGTTAAGTGTATCTGAGACACGTCACAGAAAAACATAGAGGGCTCCTCGTTCACAGCCAGCATCAGGAACCATCATCAGGAGCCTGCAAACTTCGTGTGGGGAGAGCAGCAGTCTTCAGGCTTGAATGCACGCAATGATCCCAGAGGGATCTCCTTGTGAGAGTCCTGTGAGATTCCCACGAGGTGGGCGAGGAGAGCACTTTCTGTCAGGGAGCACCTCCAGCTCCGAGATGGCGCAGGGCAGAGGTGCTCTGAGTCACCCCACAGTGTGAGGAGGCGGGCACGGTTGCTCCCCCTTTGCAAGGATGGCCTTTTGGTGCTGAGCCATGCAAAGAGTTAAAGACTCACCGTGTTGCGCTTTTCTGGGGTTTTTGTTGTATTTTTTTTTAATAAAAATTTAAGCTGTGGTGGACCAATGGCCAGGATGTGCCTTCTGGAAAGTACCACCTTGGAGCAGCTTGCTGGCATGCCCCTGCCATGTGTTGGACACTGTGGTTAGCACTTGTTTAGACTCAGAATTTTCCTTCATATTCATCTGGAAAAAATGGGTAATTCTTTCTGACTAAAAAAACCGTGCCTTTCTAGATGAGCCCAGTGTTGAGGGCTCCTATTTGGAGGGGCTGTGAAGGGTAGCATTGAGGCACTGGAACTACGTGCTGGTTTAGACCATGTGGGACATATCCTCAGAACTACATAAGACCTTCAGGTCAAGAGCTGGAAGAAGATGAACATTAAAAGTGCATGGTGCACCCTCTTAAACATGGCAGTGCCCCTGTTCTAGATCCTACAGTTGTCCCCGAAGCACAACTGCAAGGAAACATCTGAGATTCTCATGTTTCACCTCTCCTATTCATCTTCTCCTTGCCCCCCAGGTTCAAAGGTGACTTTCCACAGGATCTTCTGGGACCCTCAACCATGTTCATTTTGGACCAGTGCCAACCTCTTAACAGTCTCTCATTCTTTTAATAGCCCTTTTTTCTCTGTAAGGACAGCAGGCACATTTTGAGTGGGGAATATTTCTGGGCTTACCCTAATTCTCAGTCCCCAGGTGCACGTCTGTCTTTGTCACTGGCCAGTATATAATAACACGCTATAACAGGGGCATTCAAAACAGGGGCAGCAAACGCCACGTGAAGTCTGCTCAGGACCTGGCTGGCTCGCCACGGCAGCGATTGCTGGTGGGGCAGCGGTGCGTGACCCCGCACACACGTGCGAGGGGAGCGCTCGCCGTTGCAGGACGCTCGGGGCTGCTGCGCTCGCTCTGGCTGGATGTTTGCAGCAGGGGACGGGCACCCAGCGGCAGCGGGTGCTTCTGGCTTGGTGCTTCCTTCGCCCTAGGCATGGCGGGGCCTTGCTTTCCTCGGCCAGCCCTGCTGGGGTGGTGACCCTCGCTTGTTACCTGTCTTCCTGTGGTAATGACAAGGGGGGGCCCTCGCCTCCCTCTGTCCTGTCCATGGAAGCCCTGCTGAAATAGGTGGTGGGAGCCTTGTGTGCTAACACAGCCTGTGCCTGGGGCAAAGCCGGTCGCAGAGATGCTTTTGCCCAGGCATGGGATCATGTGGGAGGAAGAGCGTGAAAGGTTTTGTAGGAGTTGGCTGAAGAAAGTTTTGGAGATAGCAGCGGAAGAGGTGCCTCTGGGAAACTGACTTGGTTTTAGGGAATACTGGACTTTGGTCTCTTATTCAGGAAACCAGACTTCATTGCAGAAGTATCCACCTCTTTCTCTCCAGGCTTGCCTCCTTCCACAAATTGTCTGAAAGGACGTCTGGCTTGCTGCCCAGGGTGAAAGGGAAACAGTGGAAAATCAGTGTGATCTGTTCATTGTGGCATCTACCATTCTCCTGAGGATGCTTGCAAAAGAAAAAGTAAAAAAATACACCCCCACCCTCTCCCTCCCCCCTCAAGCCTGTTTCAAATAACCGTAACTCTGCAGGGTAGAAGACAAGCAGGATAATAGCTTTACCATCGAGAGAGGCACTGCAATGCCAGCTTGGGACAAGCATCAAAGTCAGTGACACAGGGAACATCTCCTGGGTGAGCTGAGGGCTGTGATCACCTCTCCCACATCTACATCTAGCAAAAGGAACTGCAAACTCATCTTTACCTACCGCCCCTCCATTAGGCTTATAGCTGTCATATTGGTAAACGGGAGTGTGTGGGGACAGGGAGGCTGCAAGTCCTGCTTTTGAGCCTGGGGACATCAGTGAAGTAATCCCAGCCGGCGTCTGTGGCCATGGGGTCCGGCTCAAGCGGTGGCTCTGAGGTTCAAGGGCTGGCAGGTCGACTGATCCTTGATGTAAGTCAGGTGACATTTTCATTTTCGGTTGTGTGCCGGTGCTGGCACTGTGCTCCCCTCCTGCAGGGTGACAGTGTCTGCCGGCCTGCGTTGCTGTCCCTTCTCCCGCTTTCTTTCCGTGAGCTGCTGGCGATTGCATCCGTGGCCTTTCTAAGTGTATTGGGGTGAGGAGACCAGGGTGGCCCATCAGAGAGGTGTCGTGCTTTCAAGCAGAGGGGCCCGTCAAGCCTGCCTTACAACCACTCTCAACTCACAGCCACCAGCAGGCTAAATTTGGAGGTTCTTGGCACTTGCCAATGAAGGTAAGCCCTAGTGGGATGTGGTGGGTTAAATGTGGCCAGCTGCTTGGCGAGGGGAGGGGAGGAGGTTTCGTCATGCTGTAGGTTTTGAAACAGTGATGCTCTTCCTGCATTGCAGAAGCAGCAATGTATAAAGTGTTAAATGTGCTTTCCACTTTGAAGTCAGGCTTCTCCTTTCTGTGTGAAAAGATGCAGTCTGGGGAACATAACTGCTGTCTGCGCTGTAGAAAAGGTGTGTCAGGTGTGAGGAATATGAAGAACAGCCACAGGAGAGGGAGTTCAGCCTCTCAGGACAGAAAGCACAGTGTGTCGTGCAGTCCCAGACGTGGATCTGCTGAGGCTCCCAGTGTTGCAACAGCAGCAGATGTGGCCAAGCATGTGTGGTTCATACAGGCAGTGTGTGCTTCCACACTACAGCGGAAGCAAATTAACTACTGGGCTTCTCCAAAAACTACTGTTCCTCCTCTTTCCCTTCAGCTTTCCCTCCTTCAACTTACATGCATCTACCTCCTGCTATGAGGGTCATCTGCCTGCAGCATAAAGCCCATTTGGCTCTCAATCCTGCCAAAGTAGAGTTAGATGAAGGTTAATAGT